ACGAGTGTTTTTTCCAAAGATGAAATCACTTTGGGTCGTTTATGTCATACCACATTATTATATATCATTAACAATTTCATCATATTTAACTTCTTCTTTTTTGAAAAAAAATCTTGTATTTCAAAATATAAAAAGCAAAGATTATATCGTATCAAAGAAAGATATCTTCATTAAAAAAACAAGGAAATTAAAAAGGAATGAAATCAAGAGAATATGTAGAACATTTTGAAAATAAAGAATCGGCTACAAGATTATGGAATCATAATCATATAAGCTAGGGTGTGCCATTTTCAATCCACGCTTTGGAATCCTTGTTTGCTAATCGTAATTAATTTTGAACTCATTGATAAAAGGAAAATAAATAAAAACCCCCATTTTGAACACTACTAGAACTTTACCAAGCTTGATAACACGCACTGTCAAAATAACTTCAACATGACTTGCTGCCCAATGGCATTTACATTGAGCCATATCAACATTCAACAACTTGTGTACATCTAAATGCGTCTCATTTTATATCAAACACATACAACAAGCAAGCAGAGGGAAATATATGATTCAAATATGAAAACCATACAAACACTTACACATATGTGCACGCAAGCAAAATAATTGAACAAGAGATAGAGAGAGAAAGATAGAGGGTATGCTTGGCTCCTCGTACGCCACCCGCAGTAGCCAATCTAGAACCAGATTGAGCTTCCGCTTGTGGCATACAGGGAGCCAGGCATAACCCAATTCACCTTTCACTTCAAACCTCACGTCCAAGCCAACCTTCTTCTTTTGCATCTCCATGGGACATCGTGTTTACAGAGAAAGAAAAACTGATGAGAGAGAGAGAGAGAGAGAGAGAGAGAGAGAGAGAGAGAGAGAGAGTCACGAAGACTGAAGTGAAACGTAGACTCTGAATATATAGAGCCCTCGGCCTATGAGGGGAGAGATTTCTTGCCATGTACAGTAGATGTACTTTTAATGCACTTTCCTTTTCAAATAGACGAGGGATTCTTATTTAAAAACCAAATCACAAACGAGATTTAGAAAATAAATTATAATCCAAATATGTAATTGCCATCATCATCGCCACACCAAGCGCCATTTCATTTGCACCTGCTTGCCCCTTACCTTTTCGTTTTCTCTTTGCTGACAAAAAATAAATAATAAAGTAATCATTTTCTCTTATCTTTGATTAAAAAAGAAAAAAGGGAAAATGTTTTAAATTTGTTGATGCAGAAAAAAAAAGGATGAACAAGATTTTTTGGTAGGAATCAACGAGATTTTGTTCCGACGAAAGTTATATCGTACTTCTGCAACAAGAAACATACAAAAATAATGAGAGTAACACTAGTGTGGCGATGGAAAAGATTGCTACGATACTTAAGTTGCATCTTAAAATGAGTTGCAGAAGAATTTTGATAAGGGAAGGTGTGAGTACTTAGGAAAGGGTCAATTCACCGTTTTATAATGTGGTTTGGGTGGAAAATTGTAAATTCCCACTTATTTTACTTATTTTGCGGATCACGTGATAATTGACCAATATGATTAGCCTACGAACCTAGGAAATTACTTAAATGTTTTCCAAGACGTGCCTCATATATACTTTTTATAAGAAAAATTACCCCTATCTCAAAAAGCTAGTTGATACCTTGCATCAAATTTTATTTCGTAAGGCCACTTTCTCTCGAAATCCCTCAAAACCCTTCTACATTTTTTCGTCTATGTTAAAATGTAATTTTTTGTTGTTGTTACCATTCTTGAGTTTTAGTGTAACAAAAGTGATATGGACTTGATAAATTAATCCAAGTCTAACCCAATATAAAATTGGGCTAGGCTAACTCGGCTAACTCAGCTAACCCGGCTCATTAGTAAATCATAAAATAATGACTCAATTTAAAAAAAATGAAATCTTACTAGTGAATTTTGGTAGCCCTACCTTATATTTCCACCAAATCAATATCTCTGCCATATTTGGTATAAGATTCAAGAGATAGTGATGATAGTCACAAACTCATCAGATCATTAGATCAGGTTAATAGATAGTCTAGTATATTTCTGTAGGGTCCCCGGTTCCTCTCTATTACTATTATGTACAGATATGTTCTTGGACTCATTGTTCGATTCCACAGTTTATCACGTTAACCGTCCGTTTACTTTTCAGTTAAACAACCTTTCTTGTATTAGAGTCTCACTTGAGTAGGCCCCATGGGGAGGATGAGACCCCGATAAAGAAGAGTCCGCTTTATTATAAGAGTACGTCGTTAGAATCACTTCTTGAGAAAAGCATCTCCTACGTGTTTTTTCATAAAATTATTTTAATAATAACTAATGTGATTATATAGAGAAGTGATTCCATAAAAGTTACTATCAATTTATCTAAAATAACTCCCAAACGAGCGTTAAGAATGGACTAATGATTGATGTGGTCTAGGGGCGGACCAAAAAATTTCTCAAATGTATACGAGATAGTGTACATGAAAAGACCTCCTTTTTCGAAGCTAGGTAGTGAACAGCTATATAACCAGCTTTGAATGAATTATGCTTTTGGGGGGCCATACCCTGTTAGTATGCCTTATGCTTTTTCCCTTTCTTTTTGTTGAGCCAGATTTGTCGGGTGCGCTTTAGAGGAATACTTACCAACCAAGTCCACCAATCGAAGTACTCATCGACTTATCTGTAATCTGCTAATTTGCCATGCCCCCACCGTACTGATGTTTCCCTTTTCTTCGACCTAATAGCAAACAATATCCACCATTGGATTCTAGGCTTAATTTTTAGCTAGCTGCTATGTATTAACACAGATATTGTATCTATGAAAAACAGAGAACACCATGCTCGTGACCAAACCTCAACTGTTTCTCTTGGGGAAAAATTATTGTATCCGATACTTCGCATGATGTGTTGATAAAAAAGTCCATTTTACAATATCATTTCAACATTAATATCACCTCGCTAATAGAAGTGAGATATGAGATTCTACCTCCATTAGTAAAGTGGCCAACAAAAATCATCCAAATAACTTATAACATTTTTTTGGTGTGTGAGGTCAAATGTGGGTGGGATTACTTAGCTGATATTGCAGAAAAGTCCAACATATATATTGTATCTTCAAAGAACATAGACACTTAACACACGTGACAAACATGCTTCTGTCTTCCTCTACTATGTGGAGCATGCATCATGCGTATAATGTTTGTCAACCTTTCTAGGTCAAAGATGGGATGATCAACCCTTACCGTAGGTAGCGAGCTAGCTAACATGACTATGATTGTGGTTCCTCAATCCCCATAGAATGCCCGCATATTCATTTTCCTTCCACAGTTCAACTATGGACAAATATGGGCAGGAAAGCAACCTAAAATCTTACACACGTAGGACCCATTTAGTGGTCGGTCCATCTAACATAAGCTCCATTTACGCCGATGTTATGGAAAATTGGAATTGCTTTACTTTTCTCATTACGATCGACCCCTCTTCTTCTTTTTCTTCAATTTTAAGGTGTGCTTTTTTCTTCCTCGAACGTCTCTCAATTTTGAGATGGGGACCAGCAAATGGGGTCCAATCAGTGCTTGTTTTCTAAAGACTTTCTGCTTTATTATTCCATGTAATTGATAAATATGATGCAATATAACAACTTCCAAACGTTAACTGGTTAATAAGTTAATACAACATTGGTTTTATTGAAAATAATATATTGCAACAAACTCTCTCGTTGTAAGATAGTGAGAGATATTCGACTCATAAGTATAACTGACTGCTCAACTGTCTCTATTCCGTTGCGAAGTTGTGCAGTTGAAGCTCTTTCTATATCTACACCACATTTATAAAGACATGTCAACAACATATAATCACATTATAATTAACGTTTGATTCAACCCATATTTAATCTTAGATGAAAAAGCCTATATATCTATATTGTACAAATAGTTTGACTCTTACTTGAACTTTATGAGAAAGATGAGTTGAATTACCCTTAGAGGAAATGTTAAAATTTTCTAAAAATATACTAGTTGGAGCCTCACCCTTCAATTTGATTTGGGTTGCATGCTTTGACTACCAATAAAGGAAAAAGAATCACCAACAACACGCTGTCTAATCATCCCACATTATCCCACGCTGTCTAAGTAAACCTTCTTTATGTCCATATTACAATGATGCCATTGCTTCATTTTGTTGTCTACATGAATTTTAATTAGGATGTCTTGCTCTATGCTACACCAATCCTTTGATCAACATCATTCTTTTCTTTTGGTGAGTCACCAACACTATTCTTAACAAGGCTTTGGTCTTGACTTAGACATATATATAAAGTAGAAGACATGGAAATGACTTGGGCAAATGATCAATTTATTCACAAAACAAAATGATTGTGAGAAGCTCACTAGTGCATGCATCAAGTTTGGTCAAAAGATGACAACTTTTTTTATGCTAATTATTAGGGTTAAGTCAAAATTCAGGAACATCATCATTTGTTTCTATCACTTATCGGTACTTTATCTTTATATTACATCTGATCTTATATTCTTAAACAACATTATTGAAGCAGTGAAACAGTTTTTCATGATTGGACCACTATTCTATTTTTCATTTGCTTCCTTTTGATAATGCATACCCATCACTATTTGTTAATGAGAAATCATACATTCTTTCGTAACGAGAAGAATGTATTGTCGATTCGATATCATAAGGTGTCGGTATCATTGTAGATAACATGTCAAGAATAAAATATATCATTGTAGATAACATGTCAAGAATAAAATATATTGACGTCTTATCGATACACATCAGCAATATCAAATACAATTTGTCTTTTAAAAAAAGACGAACATCCTGCACGCATAATTTCTACTCATATTATAGCCTAAGCACTACCCTAAGAAAATTGAGCCAAAGGTTGAGCCAACCCTATTGGTCTCTGTCGGAGTAAATTTCAGAGTGTACAAAATGGCAAGACAAAAAAGCCCATGTGAAGCTTTGACTTCAACTATCAGCTTCAGTTGTCAGATTCACATGCTCATGAGCCATGCACATCCAAATTGTGTTATCACATCTTCAACATTCAACACCACGTCGTTGAATTCTACCTTTTTAAGCCCTTCAATTACCGCTGATGGCTCGGCAACCTTAGCAAAGAAAAGGTCATCTACAGCCTTAGCACATGTTAGAGAAGATCTGTATCTGTATCCATAGATTCTATTATGTATTTGAGTATAAACTAAGTTAGTTTCTTTGATCTATTACATATACCAAATTATGCATTTGCTAAAAAATGGTTTTGAGATTATTTTCTTAATGAGCTTAGGATGAATGATGATAAACTTATTTTGAAGTCTTTGAGATGAAAGAAAACGAGGAAGATCTTTCTGTTGATGATCATCGTCATCACATGTCATTTGAGTTCAAGTACAGCTGATGTTCTCTAATGTAATCAATTACTTCATCTGCAGTCAGATATTTTACTGACAATCCTCTTGAAATGCAATCCCTGAAATACATTGTAAGTTATCAGTTCCACATTCCCCTTAGCATGTTTGTCAATGAATCATATTGTCTTTACCTTATTCTCGTTGAACTTATTTGGTTCGGTACAAGTTCATCCACGATTCTTATGTTACCCTGTAATAAAGGAGAAGAATTAACACTAAATGGGCTGTAAAGAAGCTTCAAATCAAAACTATTTAAGCGACAAAAGGTTTTACACTATTTCAAACCATTATGAAACTTTCGATTTTTCAATTCAGACCAATTTCTACCCTTGTATAATACAATCCCAATTTGCATAATTTACATTCAGACTATACATACATAGGTGTAGAAAAGAAAAATGCATGAGAGAAATATCACTTTGGGTAATGGTTATTTAATCTAGGTGTAACTACGAAAATCTAGTGTTTTACAACTACTGAATGAGAGTTTGATTTACTATTACAATGTCTGAGTCAAAAAGCACTGAAAAGATCAAGAGATGCGATTACCCTGTTCTCTTTCAAAATTTCATCATTTGAGATAATTTTATCAACATCTTGTCCTTCCCTGCGAATGCAAACCACCCCATAATCTCTGCATATGCCTCTGACCTGATCAAGAAGGACAAATGTTATGGTAGATTACCATCTTCTTGAACCAGAAACGGACCAATTCAAAAGGTTTAAACCCTACCAGACTGCAAGTGTTAGGTTACTTTACATTATACAACAAAGATCCACCAAGTGCTCAGTTAATTTCCATTCATGTGTAATTGTTGGACATTATGACCAAATGTTCTCCTAACAATTATTCGCCACCTTTTAAGTTACTGAACTAAAATAAATTAAAATTCTCCAGATCAAGTTGTTGTACTCCATAGTAAGTTAGTAATACAGGAAAAATGAGATGGTTATCTTGTAAGAGTCAACTACACATGACCACTAGAATATAGAGTTATAGACATACCTGCTCAGCAATCCAGATTCCAGGAATGCCAAAAGAGTGGAGTAGATCAGAGCCACACACAAGCATGCACTTAAGGGATTCTATCAAGAGGACAGAAGTCAATCATATTGCCTCCAAATTAACAATGATAAAGTAGAACTGTGAACCAGTTTCAGACATCATGCATCAAATTGATTAAGCACAGTCCTTAACAGGAAATATATATATGAGTGCCAGTGCTGCAGCTTATCTATGGAATAAGCTGCCTTTATTTTCATTTTATTTTATAGGAAACAGATCGATGGAATAAGAGCCTTAAGCTACCATATGTTAAGACTACTTGAGAAAGAGTGTCCAGAGCTGATAACGGAATCCAAAAACAGGGTTTCAAGCAGCAATATGACAAAGAATTCCTGACAATCTTCCTGTAATGTTATAGTCACACAGTTTTGGGCAAGAATATGTGCATGTGTTCTTTGCAGTTATATCCGTCTATATGCATACATATAAAGAGCAACTTGTGTGAGGATAAATCATAATTGTGCAGCTCCTCAAAGGAAAATGAGGGATAACAGTTTTGCAAATCTTACCACTGGGTATCAGCCCAGCCTCAGACAAGGAACCCTTGACTCTAGACAGAATAGTTAAAGTGCGCTGGAAGCTACTCTGTCTTGCCTGTAAAATTGGTTTATAAATTCTATATATAAGTACGCAGAACCCTAGTGGCAGTAAATAAATAAGACAGAGTAGCACAACAGAAGCATCATCTAAGATTCTAAAAAATCTGTACAGTGGAGAGAGAGAGGGAGAGATATACCTCCCAAGGATCAACCATTACAAATTCTGAACTCTGGCAGGCTAGACGGCACAACTGTACACGATGTTCAGCAGATATAAGGCCCTACATAGCCAGCCAAGTGACCATGTCAGTGTGTGGCAATAGAGGGATATGTCATATCTGATCATATGATTTAGCTATAGCACTTCATTAAGCATGAAGAAGTGATAAATCTCAGAATTGCATTGACAAACTCATCCGAGTAACCTATGCAATAAAACAAATGGAATAAGCGCATTGCTTCTACAACCCTGGTTAAAAGGGATCCAGGAAGAAGTTGAGCTAAGTGACTAACTTCCATCCCAGAACCCTGTTAGGATCTCCTGTACATACCGTGTACCTTTACCCAAGTGCTTAGAAAGCTCTTGCTATTCCGATGCCTACAGAGATGCTACTAAAGGATACATACCCTCTTATAGTACGCATCATTAACAGGTGACATATAACCTCCAATGACACAAAAGCCTTCTGAACTCAGTGCATCTCTTGCCAGCTCTGTGCACAACAGCAAAATTGATCAAAAAATACAATAGATATGTAATTTACAGTGAAAAATAAGCAAAGTAGCCCAAAGTCATATGCATAAAATGAAACCCGTGAGGCCATGACCAGATTCAAATAGAGTGCGCAATTCACATATATGTAAATTCACAATTTTGCTGTCAAAATGAGAAAGAAAGCTAGTTCGTGTGACAACTTACCCAACATTCGTAAATGCATATAAGTAGGAGGATTGAAACTTCCAGTTGCTACTAGAACTACGTATTTCTTGTCCCTAGTAACAAAAACAGAGAAAAGCATAGAACTAATTCAATCCTTGAATGCCAGACATATCCAACTATTCCACTAGTAACTAAAACAACAAAAAATAGTGAAATAAATAAAATTGACAATATGAACTTACTTGTCGTCTTGATTAACCAAATGCAGAGCTAATTTACTAAGAGGCAGAGGGATGTCCATGGCACCTGAAAAAGTTGAAAAACAATTTATAACACCTATCACGAAAAAGAGTTAAGAGCCTTGTTCGTTTTGACAGAAACTGATTCCCGGGAAGAATTATTGTTTGTTTTTATCAAATTCCTAGAAAGAGTTAACGCCAGTGTAAATGTCGCCACTTGGCTTTCAATTTGAGCAGCATCGTCCTAAACTACGGTAATGTGTCTAAGAAGACCTTATGGTATAAAATTTTGCACTGCTATGAAAACCCAATATGAAAAACTTTATTTTTCCTCAATTTCTTACAGTTTCCTACCAACCAAACAGCATAAACATCCACACGCTAGGTGACAAAATTAAATATATAAATAAACAGAGTAATAAGACAAACCCAGATTAGAAAATTCAAAAGAAAATAAAAAATGAATAACCTTTTGAGATTGGCGACTTAAAGGTCCCTGCTTTCGGCCACCTGGACCTGGTACTTGTCACCGGTCCTCTCGACGATGATGGTCAAGGAGGCAGGAGACCTGAGGCTCTAGGGCGATGAGACCCAAGCTTAGACAGAAAAATTTGGGTTCGCGCGCGATGGGTTCGATAGACGCGGCAGCTAGGTGGGCTGAGATTTTATTGGCAACTCTGGAAAAGTTTGATACAGAGAGAACAAAAGAAACGACGACAGTTTCCAAAGCTAAGGACTTTATATTGGTCTATTTTTATCTGTTGATTTGCCCAACTGACACGCAGTCAAAGTTAAGACGAAAGTGGAATGGGAGGTGAAAAGTTTGAAACTTTGTCCGATTCTAAAACTTTGTTTCCTAAGCTCTTGGGCTCTGCTAAGATTATGGCGGACTTCACAAAGCTCCCTATGGCGTCTTGTGTTGTTGTTTTAGTTATGGACTCTGCCGTCCTCTCATGGCTTCAAAATTCCCATAGTATTGGCTTTGCAATCTCTTTTATTGCTTTTCATCTTCATCGTCACCATGAGGTCCGGGAGTCCCAGCCCCAGAGCAGTTGGGCAACCGAACCAGGTCACTCTGAAGCTCACTTGGTCCTTACCCTTTTCATTTCATTGTTGAATTTGTGCTGAAATGTGCCTCGAATGTTATGCAGGTACAAGAACCATACAGTCGTGCAAGAAAGAACCCATTTTTCGATGGTCTGTTGAGAGCGGAAGATGGGACGCCTAGTCTTCCATTTGATCTCCAAGCAAGCCTTGGCAGCCGGAACATTTCTCGCACCATGTCAGATATTGGTAACACTCACACAAGATATGCACATGATTCATTGACAGATATTGGTAACAACCCATTTCTTCAGCCCTTTGAAAGGTCAAAAATTGACAAAACAGCTTCATTTGCATTCACGGATGTTCAGTCACTTTTTAGCTTTGACCCAAATGAGCTCATTGAAGCAAATGAGAAGCCCCCTACTGTAAATGGCCTAACAAGTCCCACAAGTGCAAAATCATTTAGGGTGAAAAGAAGGAAAGAAAAACTGTCTACAGTTTCACTTCCTCAGTCTGCAGCATCATTCTATAATGGGGACTCACCAGAATTTGAAATTGTTGCATCGTGTCCAAGCATTAACAAGCTTAATTCATTTCTCAAAGCCACAAAGGATGAAGTTAATGCTGGTGTCCCAGGAAGATTCTTACATGTTGTAATGGCTCAAGATGTCCCTGGTAATGCCTACCTTGAATCCTCCTTTTCAAGTTATCTTTACTTCTCCTTTTTAAATTTCTGTATCATTACACACACACACACACACACATATATATATATAGAAGACCACAGTACAATATGACTTTCACGTCGGAAAAATTAATGTGCTGTGCCCTGAAATTCGTTGGAAAACAATTAAATTGTTATCTAGTCTAATGACTAATACTATCTACGTCCATTTCTTTTATTTCTACTGAGACTTCTTGACCACATTGGAATTCTAAGGATCTCCGTAGTCCAAAGTCCATGCAACATCTGTGGTCAGCTATGCATTCTATTAAAACAAATTAAAAAGAAAAGTAAGGAAAAACTGTATGGAAATGCTGATAAAATGTATTTCTGAAGATCATTGTGATTTTTTCGATCTGTCAGCCAACTTGTGAACTGATGTCAGAGTACACATTTTTATCACTCTTTGGTGATTTCCAGATGTTGGATCTATTGCTTCAACAATCACTTATGCCTTCTACCTGAATGAAGCACGTAAAGGTGACCAGATTTGCACGGTGCCTGTCATCAACATGAAGAGGTTGGACATACGTTCTCAAGCTGAACTCAAATGGTTACTGGATTCTTGTCAAATTGATCAGTCGTCCTTAATTTTTGTAGATGAGGTATGTTCATATGTGAATCATGGGGATTTACTTATGTTGATTTTTTTCCCTCTCTAAGTTTCATGCCTTTTACCTGTGACTAGTTAGGGCCCGAAATATAAGTGTTCAATTACGACATGCCTGTTCAACTGATATGTTTATCCCCCACTATGAAATTTTGAGCAGATTGATCTGTCCTATTATGATCTATTTGGGAGTCTTAAAGTAGTTCTATTAAATGGGAACAAGCTCCCAGCCAAGCAAGAGGTATATTTAATTTGGGGTATACTTGAATTTTTAACCATGGGAAATGACTAATACTTTTGTCTTCCTAAACAGGCAATGAAACAGGCAGTAGTTGAAATTTTCAATTGCAAAGAGGTGTTTTGCTGAACTCAATGTGGACTACTTTTAAGCTTATCTTCCTACCTCCTGACACTTTCAATAATGAAAAAATGCCTATTATAAGATTTCTTTTCTTTTCTTTTTGCAGGGCGAATCTGTATATCCCTGGGTTAAGACCGTTACTATAGCAGAGGTATGACTTTAGCGTTTAGACGTTAAAATAAACTTTTGGTGTTTATATATCCTTTTCATTATCTATCCTTGTTTTCCTGTAAGCAACAAGATTTTATAGAAGTGAGAAAAGAGAGGAACAAAACAAACCATCTTGTTATGCTTGATTATCTATGTCCTATTTATTTTTCATGAAGGATTGAAAACTATGTATTATAATCTTACCAGCGTACTTGTCTCTATTGTTCTTAACATGAATAAATATGCTGATTATCGTGTTTTAAGAAACAGGATAGCTCATGCTGTACACTTGTTGCTGAAAAGTTTGCACTGATTTCACCCGAGATTTTGGCTGGACAAGGATTCAGTAGACTTTTGGTACCTTCCTTTTTCTCTTTGCAGGCTATAACATGTGAACAGCTTATTTCAAGATTGAAAGACCTTTTTATTGGTGTACATTCGAGCATCTGCTCTCTCCCTGTTCCTCCTCCACCATATAGGCCATGTACTTGTGCAGCAATTATATAAGCCCTTCCCATGTTTTTTATTATGTGCCCATCTTGGTCGATTGTTAATTAATTTCTAGGAGAAAATTGTCCTTGGCCTTGTGGTTTTCTTTTATTCCTTATCCTTTTTATTTTCTTTCATTTTTTCCTTTTGTTGTTCCTTTGATCAGATTGAATTACGTCATATTTTCTATTCTTGGGTTGCCATGATGGCTCCTAATGTAAGATAGGTAGTCAAATCCTTACCCCCTATAGTGTAGCCCAGCCATTTGACCCCCCCTGGGGGGTTGGAGTGGGGAGCGATTGATAGTTGATAGGTTGGATTGCCATGGACTTTACTTTACCCTCCATGCCTTATTAAGTGTTTTTTCACTCTCTTGAATTCCTATTTTCTTGCAGTTAGCTGCCATCCTCTTAGATTCCGCGAACTTGTGTAGTCCTCAGTGTTCGCTCAAAGATAACTACATGGCTACACTGTTAATCCATGGTGCTGGTCGCTTTGGATGCAATGGTCTTTACCAGTTACGTATGTATTTTGTCCATTACATGCCTATATATCTTTTTTATTTATTTTATTTCCTCAAAGCGTCTTCCTCTAAATATAATTTTTGATTTTCAGTGAGATACAAAATGTATGATGTGTCTGATCTCAAGGTAGCTGATATATTGCGAAAGGATTTCAAAAAGTGGACAAGAGTGGGTATGGACTTGAACCTTAGTCCTCTTATATAATAGTGCAACTAAATTATTGGCGTGTTCTGCAATAAGATTTTGTTGTTAACTGTCTGAAGATTCAACTTTCAATAAATTGATATGGCCGACTGAACTGGATGGCATAAAACTCAATAGAAATGATTGATAAGACACTATTAGGGAAAATTCTTATATGAGCTGACTTCAGTTCATACAAATGGCCATCGCATTTTACTTATCTTTTGCAGACATGTTTAGACCATTCTCAGTCTAGTTAAAAATTTATATATATATATATATAAATATATATTTACTTTTTAAATATTTGGCTTAATTTAGCTATATCATGAACTTTATACTGATGTAAGGCCTGGACTTGCATTACAACTAAAAAGTTTGAACCTATTTATGTTCACTGTGATCAGCTAAGCAAGATATCTAAAAGTTCATTTTTTGCATGCTTCATTTTTTTTAGTCCTCACATTCCAGTTATAGATATATGGATACTTTTTAAGTAAAGCACGTTAGTGCAGAAAAGTCTGACCAAAACTTCCCATCAAAAGAGAAAGTAGGGCCAAAATAATCAATACAAGAGTCTAAATAAGGGGTTTCTATCAAAATCCACTCAAAATAGTAAATAATCAGCAAGTCATGTTTGAGGGAATCAGGTCCCTCTATAAATATGTATTGGACTGGGTGCATTTCAAATGCTCACTCCATGTGCTCTGAGTACAAGGCAGATCCAGTTGGACGCAATCAAGAAAGAGTTGAATAACTGAGGCAAAAATAAATTAATAACACGATATTTCGCTGAAAGTTTCCTTCCCTGACCATTGACCATTAGCTCCTCTCTATTTTTAGCCTTGTCTAGGGATTTTTTTGGCCCTTAAACATAATGGAATAACCTTCCAATAACATAGAAATTGTTGAAACAGGTAAGCCAGACAGTGCTGGTTCTAGAATGATGGCATCACAAATCGGGATGAGTTCTATTGGAGTGCCAATTGCCCAACTTCTTGATCATGAGGACACCTCAGTGCGTGAAATTAAATATTTCCAACGTAAGTATATATTTTTCTTTCATTGTCATCATGGCTACTAATCTTGGATAAAGATTCACTCGCTCGAAAACTGGCTTGTACAACCTCTAAGTTACTTGCCCTACTTTTGATTTAGTCTCAGTTATCTTGCCACAAGTACATCTGTCAACTTCTGTACGAGTGTTTCGTGAAATAGTTGAAGAATAAAGATCTTTCATGTTGCAAGGAACAGAAGTCTTGAATCTTTACTATTAATTCCTAGTCAGTTTGTTTACTAATTCATGATAGTATTCTTTTTTTTATGTGTCTCATAAAGGCAGTATCATACTGTAATGTTGAAGAAATTATATTTCCAGTAGCTTTAATTTTCACTCACTCACACCTATTCTAATCGTGTGTTCCCAATTACCACACGACATTGATGGATCATACCACCTGTTTAAACTATATACATATTTAGTTCTTTTTTATATTTAAATTTCAGATATGGAGAAAATTCGGCTTCTCATGATTGTTTCTGGTTATTATGATTCGAAGAAGAACTTCAAGGTTAGATACATGCTTATATTTGACAGTTTCTCTTTTTATTAACACTTGTTTTAGGGAGCTAATGATCTGGATACCTTATGTTATCAAGGAAAAAGTTGGAATAGGGTTTACTGTGGCTTAAACCCAAAAAAAGTTCTGATGAAGGACAAGTAGCTACTGTGGTTATGTTTCTGTAAGGACGGTTTATTTCATGTTTGGTGTCATAGATTCTACTCTTTGTGGTTGAACTTATGCATGCAATCCTCTTGATCCTCATGTGGTAGTAGAAGGGTATGCAATGGGGTGTTTTAAAAAGAGGGGGCGGACACCCAACATGAAAGTCCTCATTTTAGTAGAAGAGTATGCAATAAGGTTTTAGAGAATATCGTAACCTTCTTCATTTAGTGAAGTTTCCCCATCTGCCTTGCCTATGAAAGTCCTAAGTTTGAACGACTCAAACTTCTGTGTTCTGTGTGATTGTAATATTTTGTACTTCAACTTTTGACTGCTATGAGCTGATCTAAAGGGCCTTTTGCCATTTGTTTGCTCATGAAATTAGGAATACTAGTTCAGTATGGTCTCAATTCAATAAGTAATCCAGCTTCCCTACTCATACATCCATACATATTCTGATGCAGTTATGATCTCGTCTTTTTTGGTAGAATAAGGGTACTGTGGCTTTTTACTATTTTATGGTAGAGTGACTTTCTCCATATCTTTGGTGTAATTTAGAGAGAGATCCTGGTGTCTGCTGAATCTGTGGAGCTCATGAAGAATCTGCTGTTTTTCTTCAATGCGAGTGCTTCCCAACTGCCTCTCAAAGCGATCCATCAGCCAGGTAAGAATCACTTCAAAATAATACAGGCCATGCACATCAGTTTTTGTGGTCAGAAAAATTAGGAATTAAATTCCTACTTGGAATTAATACATTTGAAAAGCATCCCGTAGAGTTTTATTGGCTGTATTGGTGAAGGGGAAATCGATTATGAGAAAATACAAACTCCAGTTGCTTTTTTTGTTCCTTTGTTGTTCCTTACTAGTAAGTTTCCTGTTTATCATTTGTAATTGCTACACATAATCCAGGATAACAAAAAAGAAAGGGTTAAATTGTATTATCATTTCAGGATGATATTAAACTTACTTATGGTGCTCGCACAGGTCTCGGGGAGGAGATGCAAGCATTTGAGATTGACAAGGTCACATCCAGAAAGACCATTGAACGTCTCTTAGAAGAATTTGGTGGGACTTCAAAAGGCTAATATGAATTCCAGACCTCGACAATTGTCCAGAGACAGTTGTTATTGATTATGTAGGTAAATCACAAGTGTTGAAGGAAAGATTTCTGTAAGATATAACTTAATCTTGGCTGCTCAAATTGAAAGGTATCTTTGAGGCAATGGTCAAATGAATATTGGATATTCAAATTGAATTGTAAACTATCTCAGTTTGCCAAAAATGATATGCAGTGCGTGTATAGAAAGTTTTAATGGATTGAAATGTTGAGATTGGATTAGAATTTAATTCAGCAAACATGCCCTGTGCAGTTTATAGCAACTGTTAGTTAGGAAGTAAAAGTTTGTTTTCTGAGACTGGAGATGATGATGGACATGTTGGTTGCAGTAAAACTCTCGGTTGGTGTTGCTTTGATGCAGCCACTGAATCCCAAAGGTAGAGCTCTTGCCGGATTGAATTCTTATCCGAGTGATCTGTTGAGAAGGGGTAAAAGGCCCCTACCTACATATAGACATAACTAAAGTTAGTCTCATAATTTGACTTCCCAGAGGACAATGCAAGTGTAAAAGAAGATGACATAATGTGGCCTAGTTCTTGTGGAAGTGTTCAAATTAAAGGCTTGCTTATCAGTTTTCTGAATCCACTGCCGGCAGAGTTCTTCATTTGTATCTCCTAAGAATCCACATATATTGGCTCCAATCATCGGAACTCCGAAGAGTCCAAAGTTCAAAGTGGCTGGAATTGAGTAAGCCAAATCCTCCCATTTTGCACTTGTCTCCTGTCCAGTGTGCTGTGTACTTACCAGAGCTTACAAAAGCTGACCTGCTGAGTACAAATGGTCTTTTACCAGTCACATCAAGCGAGGCCTTGTTTGTTGCCTTGGCTTCCAAGAAACCAAATAGGTTATGAACATCATATTCTGTAATGCTACCAAAGTGTAAGGCTGATGCCGGAACATCCTGCAGCCTAAACCCTATCCCCGATTAAAACAGTAGGCGCTCCTAACTTCCACAGAAGCGCTTCAGGTTACAAGTAGTAAAAACACACCGAAAATAAAATATATTTTCTCCATTAAAAACAGTATAGGCGTTTGTTCCTCCTTGATATTGATACTTGAACAAATAAAAATTCCCAATTGGATTAGGATTAGGATTAGGATTAGGATTAGGTTTAGGATTATTCTAGTAGGATTTGTTTCATCGTTCATCTATATATCTATATGATCCTTTATCTAAGAAGATAAAGATAAAATTTTAAAACACAATTACTTAATGTTAGAGAGACAAATGCGTACAATACTTTTCCATTTAAATGCAAATAATTAAAAACAAAAAGAAATTAATTATTTTCTATGGATAAGGATAAAATAAAAAAGAAGGCAAGCTTTCCTTCCTTATTTCAAGCAGCAATAACATTATATTTTGTCCAAGGATAAACAACACAAAAGGGTAATAATCAAGACAATAATTTTTCTATTTCTTCATTATCCATGCGGACCCAACTCTGCAACTCTCAACTGGTAAACTATAAATACAAACCAAACTTGATCACCATACTCACAATCACTCTACAACAATTCACCATCTCAATTAAGAAAAGCAAGCATGCGGGGTCATCATCAAGTTCCAGTGGGCTACAAGAAGTTGAGCTGCGGTGGAGGGTGTCCTCGTCCAGGTACGCTTTCCATTTCATTACTCGGGGGTGAACGTTGGGCAGGGTCAGCCTACCTGAACTCACCCCCACCAAAATCAATTCCAATGCCCCATTTCTTATCAACATCCCCATCCCCATCCCCGTCCCCAGCTGGGGAGAGCCCACCTCCCACACCAAACCACTCTGTTGAGTCTGTGACAATGGAGCTGCGTCGCATACTCAACATTGAGGTTGGTAAGTAGTATGCATGTAAGGAGTCGACATCCCCGGCCTCAGCTTGAGACCATGGGTGTCCAAACATCGGTGGGCTGAGTTATGATATTTCTATTACTGGTTGTGTTCTTATTCAATGTGTTTCTTAGTTTTTTTTAAAAAAAATATTTCTTAAAAACATTTGATAGGTCTATGACGATTACAAAAATTCCATTAAACACTTGGAATCAATGAGCTAAGCTACATTCTAGAACTAGTTTGGTATAGGCTTGTGTAGGCTTGTGAAAGTGTGAGGGGGTGTATTTTTGATTTAGTTAGCATTAAAGTTCTTTTTAGTCTTGTAAAAGACTCTAGATTGACCAATAGAGTAAACCCTTCCAAGTCTTGTAAAAAGACTCTCAATTGACCACCAATGTTACGTTTTAAGGAGGGTTTATGTATAGAGATGGCTGCATGTAAGGGACGTGTGAAGCTGCCATGGAGGTGGGTGCACACTTAATCTCTAATGGAGAGGGCTACCACCCTAATGGTGTGAAAGCTACCTATACAAAATAGGTGTACACAATAAATTAGGAGAAGGCTACCTATTAGGGTTGAGTGAAAGCTAATGTTGAGGTAGGTAGGTGTATATGCTTCACTTCTAACAAAGATGGCTACCACCCTAATAGAGTGAAAGCTACCACATTAACGGCTTCCTATATTGTGAAGCTAGTACACCATTTAGTAAACATGGAGAGGGCTACCCATGAGGGACTGTGTGAAAGCTACCATTAGAGTAGGTGCACACTTAATTTCTAATGGAGAGGGCTACCGCCTTTATAATGTGAAAGCCGCTATACAAACGTCCTTTTAAAAAATAAAAAACTTTGTGTAGACATTGAGTTAGAGTTCACTCTATTTGACTTCAAGTACAGAGGCTTGAATAAGACTAAATAGAACTTGATCAGTGTACTTGACTTATTGGGAATGCATCACCTCTCACAATTTTCATTCACCAAAACAAACCCTATACCATACTAGTTATACAGTAACTCTTAGCTTGTTGATTCATGAGTACTTATTCACATTTCAGTCTGGTTCATTGTTTAAATATGAAACCTGCAGTGAAAATGTGTTGTTTAGATGTTTGGATTGGAGAATTCTTTTAAGGGGAGGAAGAGTTTCAATCGGGAATTTAATTTGATTTTATTGAACTACCCCTCTGATGATTTCCAAGCCTTAGAGTGGACAATGGGCAGAGGGGTAATATAAACCTATTAATTTGGGTTTATTTCCTTGTAGATATATATGCAGGTGAAATAGGTGCAGATCATCAGGCTCGCCAGGAAACGTATTAATTTGGACATGGTAATGTATATTTTGTTTGGCTTCTTTGTTTATTTGATATATCTTATGTCATATTTCTGATAATAATAAAAATTGATTTGTTGAACAGATAAAATGATGAAGGCCATTAAAATAGAGTCTGTGGAGTTGACTTCAGATCCGTGCAATCAGAAAATCATTCCACAACTAAATGGTAAAAATGTACTGGTTTTTGGTTTTTGGAGTTGATATCAATATGAGTGATTTGCTGTATTGGTTTTTTGGTTCAGTGTTTGGATTCGGGTAATTGGTTGAAGTGCAATCTAACAAGTGTATATCATTTCATTTTTTTACTGTGTTTTGGAGAATTAACAGTTATCCTGTTAGACCTATCCTCCTTTCAAGATGTTTTCTGTTGCCAATCTGTCATTTCATTTTTTACTGTGTTTTATTAGAAAAATAAAAATAAAAATGTTCCAACATTACAGGTGATGCATAAAACATGTCTTCCAGGGGAGCCATAAATCCGAATGGCATGTAACTTATTGTTCTCTCTCTAGAAGAGTGTTAATTTTCACTAGTATCAATACTTCAGCTCCAAGTTAAAATCTGCTCCTATAAGAATGGATAATCTGGAAATCTCTACCATGACGAATCGCTTATTGCTGTCAAAGCTGGCCCTGATATCTGAGTGTCCTCCCTTCAAGTTTGCTCCCTTAGTAATGTTCAATGCATACCCTTCCAATCCATCAACCTTGTCCAACCCAATAATGGTAACTTTATCAATGATCCATTTTTGGCTTAAAGCAAATCCTCCATTTACAACCGTTGATCTTACAGATACACTTCCATTTTCTGTTGCACAGTAAAATCTCACTAAACTCCACTTGCCTCCCTTTCCTTCCATTTCCACTTCCTCTCCATCATCCAAGAAAACTTCTCCAGTGCTCTGTCCATTGCTACTGCTAACAACCAAAAGTTCGAATGCAGTCTTTCGGGCTGCTTCTGTTGTCAAGGCCTCTCCTTGTAAGGCCAAAATGTTTCCTTCACGGACATGTACGTTGATATGATCAGGTGGTGCATCCAGTGTAACGTGCTCTCCCGATTTTACACTTACCGAGTTTGAGTAGTTGAAGAGATCAAACCAGTTTCCTGCGGGAAAATATGCATCAACTGAACTTACTCCAGGCTTCAACACAGGTGACACCATTACACCTCTGCCAATCAGAAACTGAGTGTTGATCTCATAAGTTCTGATATCTTGAGGAAATGAGAAGAAAAGGGGTCTTGCAATGGGGGTCCCCTTTTTGTGTGCCTCATACATTGATGTGTAAAACAAGGGGAGCAACCGATAGCGCAGGCCAAGCACCTTCCTTGCCGTTGCAGCCACTGAGTCCCAAAGATAGAGCTCTTGACGGATTGTGAACTTGTCTGAGTGATCTCTTGCAAAAGGGTAAAAGGCCCCTAGCTACATAGAGACATAGCATAGTTAAGTTAGTTGCACATGTTCTGATGATTATAATTGACAGCATAGCAAAGTTCTAGGTAAAACAAGATGTATAATGTGGTCCAGTTTTTGTGTAAGTGTTCAATTTGAAGGCTCCTAAGTTACCTGAATCCACCGACGGCAGAGCTCTTCATTAGTATTTCCAGAGAATCCACATATATCAGCTCCAACCATCGGAATTCCGAAGAGTCCAAAATTCAGAATTGCTGGAATTGTGTATGCCAGATCACTCCATTTTGCAGCATTGTCTCCAGTCCAGTGTGCTGTGTACCTACCAGAGCTTACAAAAGTTGATCTAGAAAGTATAAATGGTCTTTTACCTGTCACATCGACTAAGGCCTTGTTTGTTGCTTTGGATTCCAAGAGTCCATATAAGTTATGAGCATCATATTCTGTGATGTTACCAAAGTGTAGGGCTGATGCCGGAACAGTATTGTTATTGATGGGACGCAGGACCCCGGCATTGTTAATCTTGTAAGGAGGGTCATCAAGTGTAGAAGATGGAGTGGGAGGGGACGTGATGAAATTGGATAGCTCATTCATATCAAGCCAAAGACCATCGAAAGGCAGAGCATCTTGAAATATTTTTATCTCATTAGCCCAAAATTTTTCACTTTGTGGATGTGCAAAGTCAGGGAAATAGACAGGGCCAGGCCAAACACTTCCCAGGTAAGGAATTCCGTCACGTTTTATAAATATATCTGCTTTCAGCCCTCTGTTGTAGGTTCCATAGCTCTTATTCACACTGATTCCTGTGAGAGTCATAATACCATCATTTTCTGCCTCATCAGACAAACTGCATGTAACATCAATTTTGCTGCAGAGAGAACATACCAGGGTCCAAGATGAGCACATATTTCTGATCATTTTGGTGAAGGGTGTTGACAAATTTCTTCATCTTATCCAATGGGAAGTTGATGGGATCAAGAGTAAAATCCTTGTATGCATCCATGTAATCAATGTCTGTCCACATAACTTCAAGAGGGATAGCGGCTTTTGCATAGCCAGCAACCACACCCTCAAGATCGGAAACATTCTTGTAACCATATCGACACTGGTGAAATCCTTCAGCAGAGAATAAGTGAACAAAGTCAATGTGATTCCAAAATAAGATGAAAAAGCATACTATGCTAGTAGGAAGGACATTTTTGGACCATGCTAATATCAAACAAGGACTGTACATGCACATTTCAATCGAAGAACAAAACTATTTGTACCATTTCAACTGGCCATGTGACATAGCGCCTGTCTACTAATAAGTGCCGAAACAAAAACATTAATGCAATTCGAGAAATGTGATAATATATAGTACCTACCTAAGAAAAGTGGAATTTGAATGCAAACAAACTTACCAAAAGACCAATAGGGCATAGGGGTGGGGCGACCAATGAGCTCTGTATACTGCTCCATCACCAACTCCGGCGTAGGCCCAGAAAAGAAATACAAATCCACAATTCCACCAATGGCCTTATAAGTAATTCTATCACCGCCGTATGTTATGTCCATGCCATTGCTATTCAGCAGCAACACTCCATGAGATGTTCCGGCGCTGTCGGCCTTGCCATCTGGAGAAGCTGACCTGACGTCCAGGTAGAAGGGGTGGGACCCGTAGAGATTGACGTCAGCATTGGCGCTGCCAATGTCAGCTGTCCAGAGTGTCAAGGTCTGGTTGGGGGTGAGCTTGAAGGAGGACTTGGTGTGCTCGCCGAGGCCGAAAAGGGAGGACCTGGCTTTGGGGAGGGAGGAGGAGAGCTGGATGTATTGGTCCTTGAAGACCAAGAAGGTGTCGGGGTTTGATGGGTTTGGGGAGGCGTCGAAAATGACGTCTTTGGAGGATTGGCGGGTGACGGTGAAGCCGAATGGGGTGGTGTTGTGGAGAGTGAAGACAAGGTCGTTGGAGATCACGAGTTGTTTGTTGCGGGTTTGACATTGTTGTGGATGCTGTGAAGTTGTTTGGCGGGGGATTATTTGTTGTGGGATTTCCCATCTTTGGTGCTTTGAGTCTGTTATTCGAATTCTTAGCCGATCTTTGGTTTCATAGCTGCATGGATGATTAGCAGCACAAGGGCCAATTAGATTTCTAACATGAACTTATGAAAACTTGTCTCCGTTTGATGAAATGAGATGTTTAATTATTTCGTAAGACTGTGAATCTAAATCATCGATGACCTAATAATGCATATTAATGTTAGGTACGACAATCCAAGTTTAAGAAAGTAATGCATATTAATGTTAGGTATGACAATCCTAGTTTAAGAAAGTATGGCAATCATCTAGTAAGTAAGGGAGCAATTAATTTAATAATAGTCCTCAATTTGTATTGCTAATTGGGTTTTTGGTCGTCAATAAGGGTCTTAGATATATATTCTATATTATGGACGGTTGAGATGTTTTGCAATATCCCAATCAAATGGTCAACCCCCAATGACTAATGAGAATTGAAAAAATGAACACGTGAGAATATAAACTAATCTAAGATTAATAAATTGAGAATGGTTAATCGCGAAGTACCTGGCGTGAAGGTTGAGATTTGGGATGTCAGGTCCGTAGAGGGAGGATTTCTTGATGAGGCCAAGATTAGCAGTCAATGAGTTCCCAGAAGAATCATAGTTGACAGACTGAATTTTGTATCCAAACCCAGCAACCGCAGCTTCTTTTGCTCCCTCGGTGTTTGATGATGAAGCTAAACCACAGTGAAAGACAGCAGACAGGAAGAAGAAGAAGAAGAAGAAGAAGAGTGGAAGATGATATATTGGTTTTGGTTTGTTTGGTCTGCTTCTTCGCATCTTCATTTTCTCTGTTCCAGTGCTTGGGTTTTCCGCGAGGCGTGAGAGCACTTTTGTATCCTCTGCCTTTATGCACTTTCCAATCTTGTATTGTAATTTGTATCATGTGGTGAATATATGGTACCCGTGCGCCAATTTTTTTAAACTGCCACAGCAGGTAGCAGGTAATATCATATGTTATATAACCAAAAAAAAAAAAAAAAAAAAAAAAGAATGTGGTGGTGCTCTCACACCCTAACATATCTCTCCATCTCACCCTCTAGCAACGGTCATTTTCCTTGATTTTGTTTTTGTTTCTTTTATTTCTTGTCGAGCCTAATATTTTCTAGATTTCATGTTCTGCTGCAGGTTTTTAGTTGAATTAACTCTCAAGATCCACTTGGTATGCAATTTTAGATTGAAATTCCAATTTTTGGTGGGTCAGTTTGAATATCTATAAATTGTTTCTTTATTGAATTTTGGATTGTGAAATTTTGGAGATTTTTTTTTACACATGTAATTTGGTTGTGTTCAAGGATTAAAATATCGGCCGTGCAGATAATATCGGGCCTCCAATTTACGGAACTTCGGGGATATATTGTTATCATTTTAGGTATCGTGAAAAAATCAACAAAAATGACAGATATAGGCATTGAAACACATAATTTTGGTATAAAACTTTCATAGATATTATGTACATTATCAATGAATGTATTGAACAAATGAAACTTAAAATGTACTAATAATAAGATATACTTATGATGAAATATAAGTTGTATGTAATGCGCGTAAATGAAAAATTTGAAAATAAAATGTTAATTAGAATGAATAAACCATGCATAAACCCATAGTTTGTTTAAACATCGG